CAGCATTTCCACTGCTTCTCCTTGGCTCCTAACTGCTGTCTTTAAAACCACGCCCTTGATCTTATGGTAGAGGTAAGATATACAGCTAGCTTTCTCGGACGAGGGCGAAAAATCTCGCAGGTCCCGTGTGCAAGTTGCGCACTTTAAAGATCCCGTGGTGGTCCAAAATGGATAGGAGTAGGCTTCGGCTGTGAAAATGTTTGGTGTGTCCAACCCAGATTATTCTCCCCCCTCTCCTTCCTCCTCTCCCTCAGCCCTCCCTCTCTCCCCTTCCATCCTTCTCTCTCCGCACCCCGCCCCTTTCTCTCTCAATCCACTCTATTTCTCTCTCACTCGTTCCCTTCTTCCCTTTCTCTCCTTCCTTCCCTCCCTCTTCCCCTTCCTCCTATTTATCTCTCCCTCTCCCTCCCTATCAACGTTGTTGGTGTAGTGGTTAGGCACTTACTCCATTACTGAAACATCCTAACATCCCCATGACAACAAAACTCAAAATGATCAACACCATTATCCATCCCAACACTCGCCTATGAATGCCAAACATGGACCACGAACAAAACATTGTAGCAAAGAATTACATCATGTGAAATGCAATGTCTTATCGAGACAAAATTGGTCGCTTTTAAACACAAGGGGGCTATCCCGAAAAATGCTGTTTTGAGAAAATCGAAGGTAAAGTTTTTGCCCCTTGTTCAGTTTCTTTAAAAGACAAGGAGAGTTTTCTCTATAATATTATTAATATACCAAACAAATGTACACATTGACGTCATATTATCATTTTTAACAACGGGAATTCGTTTTGTTAAAGACGACCCAAAATTAGCAAGAAGAGGAGTCCTCCGTTCTGCACATGGTTGCTCAACTGCCCAAAATACACAGATCTTGATCGTCTTGATCGTTTAGGGATTTGAAAGGAGAGAGGCTTGGGAAAACAACGATACTAAACATGATAGGGTCATACGGGGGAACACGGTAGTTGTCACGGTCAAAATATGGGCTTATCTAAAGAACACGCACCAACTTTTGACAAGGGTGCCTTCTGTAAAAAGCCTATAAATGAAAATTCTTGACTTTTTATAATGAAACATCAAGCGTTATCGATCCTTTACATATTCAGGTACCCAAAAATGGAGAAAACATACATCGATACC